ACATTATTATTCCGCTTTATTACCGTGAATATTATTTTGGTAAGGGGTTTATTCCCAACAGCTTTTAACAAGTAAGAAAAATGATTGAGGTGTTCTGTGACTTTTCATTTGATCTGTAAAATTCTTGAGACCCATCAACAACTGAAGTTTTGAATAAGAACAAGGGAAGATCGAGTAGTTCTTCCTTTAGTAGACAGGAGGGGCACAAAAAGATTCAAAAAAAAAACGAGAAGGGAGTTTGGTTTTAGGTGATTATGGTTAATTGCACCATTTTGCAGGTTCAGTTGTTGAAATTCATTATTGAATGTTAAATTCACCATATATTAAGAGTTGATATGGGTTCAGCAGCACTATGCTAATTGAAGAACTCATTAATGTGATTGTTGAATTTGTAGAAAGAGACATGGAGGCATACGATTCTGCTATCATTTCAAACCCTCGGAGTAGTGTATGGTCGCTTAAGTACCACCCCCTTGTATGCATTTGGATCTATTCATCCTCACAACGTCAAATCTGATCAGCAGATATATGAACTCTTCTCCTTTGCTTTTTGGACTTTAACAATCATTCCCTTGTTGAAATATGCCTTTATAGTATTGAAGGCTGATGATGGTGGAGAAGGTAATGCAAAATCTTCGGCTGCGATTAATTCGCTCAACTCAAATCGAATAGTTAGTTATATCTCTGAAAGCTAATTGATACTTGCAGGTGGTACATTCGCGTTGTATTCCCTACTTTGTAGGCATGCCAAGGTAGGGCTGCTTCCAAGTGATAAAAGTGCTACTGAGATTATGCATCACGAGGAAGGAACTGCTTCTAAGATGAAAGTGGACTCAAGGGCTAGAAGGGTAATTGAAAAACACAAAAGCAGCCATTACTTGCTGTTGTTTTTGGCTTTGCTTGGTTCTTGTATGATAATCTGTGATGGAGTTTTTACGCCTGCTATTTCAGGTTAGGTATAACACTATCGTCTTCATTTACTTGAGAGTGGTTGGGTTGGTTTGCAGATGACCTCCTAATTTAACATGATGAGACACAAGCTTGCCTAACTGTGTTTTTCTTTTCTGTTGTTATTTTAGTTTTATCGGCAACATCAACTCTCAGAGTTCATTATCAAAATTGGTATATCAGTGTAAGAATTGGATTATAGTCAGCATAAAGACTTTATGTTTGCTTTTATGATTTTTAATCAATATTCAGGGCTTAGGACTGAAAACTTTTTTATGGCAATCTAATCAGTTAACTCTTCAGAGAACACAAGAGACTCGGTTGACAAGTATTTAATGAAATGTAAGTGTGGTTACTTTTAAGCTTCCATGTTAAATAGGAAGTTCCAAGTGTTAAATGTTGAATATTGTCTATTTTGTTTTATACTAAGGCTGGTATGTCCTTTTATGACACTGCATCCAATATCTTGAAATGTCATTTCAGATTTACCAGTTCCTGCAGCATGTGCCATCTTGGTTTCCCTTTTCATGTTGCAACGGTATGGGACCAACAGAATCAGCTTCATCTTTGCTCCAATTGTCATTATATGGCTCATGTTTATCAGTGGCATGGGTCTGTACAATATCATCTGCTGTCCCAAAATCCTTAGTGCGATATCTCCAACATACATGTTTAGGTTTGTTAAGAAAATAGACATCACAAGTTGGAAACTTCTAAGCAGCATTGTCTTATGCATAGCGGGTTAGTTATATCCACAGACTACTGTATTTCGCTTGCATTGGATGTCCAAGCTTTTCCAATCATTTCCGTGGTTACCTAACTCCAAGAAATAAAAGTCTATTGATATATAAGTCCTGCTATTCTTCAGGTTCAGAGGCAATGTTTGCCGATTTAGGTCATTTTTCAAAGAGATCCATCAAGGTAAGTATGAAATTCTTACATCACAGTTGTTGCATGACAGAGGAGATAAAGTTTTCACACGATGCCTTGTTCGCAGGTCACTTTTGTCTTTTTGATATATCCAGCCCTTGTTTTGTGTTATGCTGGTCAAGCAGCTTTCGTTTCCCACCACTTAGGAACTTCAGATGATGTTGCTCATCTTAGTGAATCTCTGCCTTCTAGTAAGTTTGATTAACTGTTTTCTAGCTGTCATGGCAATGCCTTTATGCTGTTACAAATGTCTAATCCTCAATTTTATGCATGGAAATCTCAGTTGGCCTTCAGCATATCTTCACCGTTCTGTCCCTTTTTGCTTCCCTCGTGGGTAGCCAAGCAACCATTACGGCAAGTTTTTCCATCATAAACCAGTGCCAAGCACTTGGTTGTTTCCCCAGAGTAAAAGTCATCCACACATCAGATAAGATACATGGACAGGTTTATATTCCTGATTCAAACTGGATACTCATGGTCCTTAGCCTGGCAATCTTGATTGGTTTCCGTGACATATCCGCTCTAGGCAATGCTACAGGTATGCCTTCATACAATGATCTCAATTCTATTCTCATTTCTGAAGTAAACATGTAGCAAAGGTAATTAATTACATGACTGCTACAGCAATTTCGCTTTGTTAAGAATGGGGGCTTCTGTGCAAAGTAGAGATTTATGCACTCGTCATAATCTTTCATGATATTTTTTATTAATTTTCTCTCAGGTCTAGCCATTATTTGTGGAATGCTAGTGACAACTTGCCTTATGTCACTTGTAATAGCACTACAGTGGGAGAAGACTCTGTTTCTGTCTGCATTCTTTTTGTTATTCTTCGGTTCCATTGAGGCCGTATACCTTTCCTCATGTTTCTTGAACTTTTTCAAGGGAGCTTGGTGCCTTCTTGTTTTATCATCAATTTTCATGATAATCATGATCTCTTGGCACTATGGTACTGTAAAAAAGTATAAATTTGACGTAGAGAACAAGGTGGCGGTCGATTGGCTGACAGACCTTAGCCCTGGCCTTGGAGTTTCTAGAGTGCCAGGCATTGGGTTCATTTATACCGATATTGTAGCAGGAATCCCTGCTTTCTTCTCCCACTTCATTACCAACCTTCCTGCATTTCATGAGGTGCTGATCTTTGTGTCCTTCAAGTCTGTGCCAGTGCCACATGTTTCCCAAAATGGACGATATCTCATTGGCAGGATCGGCCATAAGGAATATAAAATCTATCGTTGCATTGTTCGATATGGATATTGTGACAATGTAAGGGATACTGATGATTTCGAGGATCAGATTATTAGCTCAATAGGCGAATTCATTGCCCGAGAGGATGGAGATCATGAAACATTCACTTCACCAGAGGGCAGGATGATCCTTTTGGGAAGCCAAGTAACTGAAGGGAATGTACTGATTGCAGTGCCTGCAGGATCTGAACACTGTGAAACTGCTGTATCTGTGGCAGATATTGAAACTCAAAGAAGCCCATTGCTCGATCCATCACCAGCAGCCAGTGCGAAAAAGAAGAAAGTTCGATTCATGTTGCCTCCAAGTAGTCCTAAAATGAATCCATCGCTAAGGAAAGAACTCCAAGAACTTGTTGATGCCAGGGAAAGTGGCACTGCTTATTTCATTGGCCAATCACATTTAACAGTTCGCAAGGGCTCGAATTATATGAAACAATTTCTTGTCATGGCGTATGTATTTCTGGACAAGAACTGCCGAGAGCATCCAGTTGCATTGAATATCCCTCATGCTGCTCTTTTGGAGGTTGGCATGGTGTATACAATATGATTTGCAATTCATAAAATACCCAATTGTATAACAAGAAAGTTCAACTTGATGATTGAATCTCATATGAAATTAGGCGAAAAATATCATTTGGTAGGCAACTAAACGTTAATAACGATAGGTAAACAAACGTTGCAGGTACAGGTATTGCTGAGGGGCTTGTTACTGATCTTCCAACTTTTGAGGTGGCTTCTAATATTATCACCTTAAACAACTTATCATTACTCCATTTTTATTTTGTTTTAGGCTTATGTAAGACCAACTTGGCAGCCTACTGTGGGGATCCTTATGTAGTAATATAACCTATACTGGGCATCAAACACTGTGGGATATTTTCCAATTTTCCTATGTTTAGTTGGCTTAAATGTTTTGGAAAACATTGTTCTTATGAACTCATTTTTCTCATTTCCTCCTTATCAAAAGAAGAGAAATTTTTCCAAAACTCTTTNTACAAGTTCCAAAGTTATGAGTTCGGAGGTTTATGTGTTTGGAAGTTTACGGGTTCAAAATTTCAAGGTTTCGAAAGTTTATGAAATTTGTGGGTTCAGAAGGTTGTTGGTTTGAAAGTTTATAGCCTCATATTTGTTATATCTAAATTATTTATGAATACTCTTGAGAAGTCATTTTCCTTAATTTGCATACCAAACATCGGAAAATGAATAAGATTACTACTTGTTTTCCAAGAAAACATTTTCTTGGAAAACATTTTCCGTTATACCAAACGCACCTTGTATTCCTTACTTCATAGTATGTTCATGTGCCGTTTATTCCTTCCCTTAATTTCTTAACTAATTTATTTATTTATTTATTGGTTTCCTACTAATTCAAATGAAGAAGGATTTAATAAACTGAATTCTTAACCAATTTTATAATCCTAAATTTTATTAACTTCTACATAATTCAAACAAACAAAGTAGAATTTCGTTCATAATTGGCTTTATAGGATTAACTTTCCTTATAGTTTGCGATTATGCTTCCCTATCCGCTTGTTTTATTAATTTATAATAATTATTTTAAACTATTTATCACTAATGCAAAAGAATTACAGTTTGACCAATTTGACCTCTCTAATATTACCCTCTTTTTCTTAATTAATATTAGCAATTTTGTTTTTTTAAGAAAATCCTTACAAAAAAGTTATTCTTAATGCCATAGGCTAAAATGTAACATAAGAAGAAAACATAAAACTAAAACCAATTTTCATCCAATGGCTTAACACAACGGATTGTATCCTTGATAACCAGAATTATTTCTATCTTTTGAAGCATGTATTAGGGAAACAGTTACTGAGGGAGAAACTGAGGTTGTTGGAGCTTAGACTTGTTCTTTCTGGATATCCCTAATGTTGTTCGAATATGGTGTTGCTCTTCTAGATTTAGCATTATTTTAGTTGAGGTGTCCACACATATCAAGATGTGACCTAGGACAATATTTGATGAGTTTCTTTGGTTACTCGTGTTGTCATAAACTATACTATGTCTTTTCATCAAGCAGTTAAAATCTCTCCGCTAATTTTTCCCTTTTCCACATTTAACTTGATGACTGGTACCACCATTATTTCTATCTTTTGAAGCATGTATTAGACCCTGGGCGTAATACTCGGGTTATATTTGCAACGTCCGCAGTGTCCTTGTTTATAAGGCATAGTTGGGCGTGATCAGTGGCCAATGCATCGGACTATCTAATCAAGCTTTCTATTTTCCCGAGTGGGCGTCACGACTATGGACCCTGATACTGGGTATCTAAAGTGGGAACTGAGAGGTGCAGGCTATGGTTCTCCAAGTTCTGTACCTGAGAGCCAATTGGGAATGAACCAGCTAACTATTTTATTTCAACAATTGAATGAGTAACTCAAATAATGTATTTGATCAGCAAAATTCTTCTATAACAGTAATAGTTCAGCTACAAAGATACAAGGTAAAAGAAGAAAAATAATAAAGTATATTACATTTCTATTTCAATTTAGTGAAGACTAACATTTCGCTAATTAACCATTCTTCAAAACAAAAATAGAACACATAAGCTACAAGGATAATAAAAATACATACCTTAGTACCCTGTGTTCTAGTGACAAGAGTTTTGCCAACATTTTTTATGTCAAATACTGAAGGTGCTTTAACGTCATACCAATCCTTCTTAGCGAACGGATCCGCCCTACCAAAAAAAAATTAAAAAAACCCACATTACTATAAAGAAATTAGCAGAATGCAAATAACAAAAGAAAATAATAATAATAATAATACGTACGCCTTCTTTTTTCCTCCCTTCTTTCCCTTGGAAATCCTCTTGTTTTTGCTGCAAAAAAAATGGGACAATATTTAAATTATAAATAAATAAAAAACTTCAATCAGAACGAAGCCATGCTCGTTAGAAAGAGTTCGGTGAGTGACAAATACCCGACAGCCATGTTAGAGGCTACTTTGTTGTGCCGCAGAGTAACCCTTAAAATTTTATTTTGTGTCTTATACACCTAACATTAATTGTATGAGGCAACCCAAAAGTGTGAGATTGAGTCCACAAATTTGTGAGATAAAATGGAGCAAGTTGTATGAAACATAAAATACTACTTCTAACCTAGTTTAAAAAGAATTAACGAATCCCTGAGGGTTACTTAGGGCATCTCCAACTTTTACCCCATTTTTGGTCGACAACTTACTCCAACCATTCCCCTATTTTTTTCCCAAACTTTTTTATATTCTTCTCTCTCTTCTATATTATATTATTATCTTTCATTTCAATATCATTTGTTAATTTCCATTAAACAAATTCCATCTTTTATTTTTATTAATTTATAATTTCCATAATTAAAACAATTCTACAATAAAATTAACTTATAATTAATAAATGCACGAAAATTTATTTATCAAAATTATACATCAAAGTTAAGATATAATATTAATATTATAAAGATATTACATAAATATAATTAGGTATATATAAAGAGATAAATTAAAAGATTAAATAATAAAATAAAAAAAAATTGATGAATAGTAACGGGGGAGATGAATAGTGTACCCCATATTTGAGGGAACACTATTCATCCCCCATTTTGGGAACAAAAATGGGGGAGGGTTGGAGCTAAATTCCCCAAAAAATTTCCCCCATTATGGGGGAGGGGGCAAGGTTGGAGATGCCTTATAACCATGATAAGAGAACATAATCTGCCACTGTTTTTCTACGTAATTACCAAAAATGCCTTTGGTCCTAACTTTTCTCTTCTTTTTCTTTGGTTCTGTTTTCGATTTGAGAAATTGGAAGCTCTTAATTGTTTTTATAGCACTAAGGAGTCATTTGGTTTCAAGTTTAAAAGGGTGTTTGGATTGGCTTAAAGTCAAATCAGTTTAAAAGCATTTTTGAGCTTGTTTCAGCTTTGGCTAATATCAAAACAGCTTTTAATCCAAGTATTTTTAAGCCAAAACAACTTAAAACAAACCATAAGTATTTGGCTTAAAAAGCACTTGAAATTTTACATTTACCTTATTACCCTTATAATTTTATTATTATCTCTAAACTGTCCTTCCCTCCCGATTTTCTTTCTTCCTCCTGTCAAATGTCAACTATGTAGATTCCATTCTTTTGCTTTTTCTTCTTCCAGTCAAGAGAGAAGAGAGTTTATATATACAATATTAAATTATTTTCATTGCCATCGAGCTATAATCGATGGGCAGGCCCCTATTGGGCAACCTCTGATCAGATGGTAAATTATACACCGAGCCTACTGTGGCTGAGCGCCTATGGGCGAGCCCAGTTGGTCGAGATACAGAGCCTAGTATGGCCAAGTGCCTATGAGATAGCCTACTGCGGCAGAGCGGTTTTATATATATATATATACCGAGCCTTATAAAGTCGGACAGCTATTGTACTTATTATATTAAGAGAATAGAGTCAGTATCAGCAAGTAAGCATATCTTCAGATTATCTTTGACCCCCGAGCTGTTTTCAGTTATTATATCATCAATTTAGTTTCAGCTTTCAATAAATTGTCTTACATACTCGGTACATTATTTCGTACTGACGTCCCTTTTGGGGGCGCTGCATTTCATGCGTGCAAGTTCAGACAAATAGACAGGTAGACTTCCTCAGTAGGCGTTTGCCCGAGTTCATATTTATCGGTAAGCTCCCCATCCTTCGGAGTTGTTGGGTCTAGAAGTTTTGTGTACATATGTAGATATGATATGGGTAGGTCGGGACCCTGTTTCGATCATAGTATATCCATCAGTAGAGGCTTGTAGACATATCCTATCGGTTAGTGCAGTATGTTGGGCTTGTAGGCCCTGTACATATATTTTGTTGGCTTGTCAGTTGTAGTACTTATGACAGCCTTGTCGACCCAGCTTTATGTTGATGCATAAGTCTCTATTCAGTTTTANATGGGTAGGTCGGGGCCCTGTTCCCATCACAATATATCTATCAGTAGAGGCTTGTAGACATATCCTATCGGTTAGTGCAGTATGTTGGGCTTGTAGGCCCTGTACATATATTTTGTTGGCTTGTCAGTTGTAGTACTTATGACAGCCTTGTCGACCCAGCTTTATGTTGATGCATAAGTCTCTATTCAGTTTTATATTTTGCATCGTACATTATCTTGTAATGTGGCCAGTGGCCAAAGTTTGACAATACATGTTTAGAGTCTTGTAGTCGCAAGTGGTACGCAAGGGTAGGTAGGCACTGGGTTCCGATCTCGCCCCCAGGCTCGGGGTGTGACAAAAGTGGTATTAGAGCAGTTCTGTCCTAGGGAGTCTACAAACCGTGTCTAGTAGGGTCTTGTTTATAGATGTGTGGTGCACCACATTATATAAGCAAGGGACTACAGAACATTTAGAAGTTGGTTACCCTTTTTTCAAATCTAAATCGTGTTGTAGCACTAAGTTATAAGAAATTTTAGTTAAACTTACGTGTTGACGTTTGCATGCATAGATGACGGTAACTAGGAAGACTACGGCTAGCCTGAGGAGAGAAACAGTAGTAGGTGAGGGGACTAGCAAGGTACCCCCAGCAGATAGGGCCCAATCGGAGTCGTAGGGAGAGACCCCTACCAGCAATTATTGACTTCGCCACCACCTGAGGAGATTCCTAGGGAGACCGCACATCTAGTTTCCCCCTTCCATCAGATCAGGACTTGAGGAGTACGGTGCATTTGTTGGCGCAGTTGGTAGCTACCTAGAAGCAAGCTAGGGCATCCGCTAGAGCATGACCTTCTGAGGGATCTGGGAG